ACCTACACGAATATCGAGAGACCGTCTTGGTCAGTTTTTTTCTTAAATATTTCAATGACTAATAAATGTTATGACCAGAACCTTCAAATATTGCTTCTTTTACTCAACCTTACCACCTATGCTTAATAACCCAACACAATGATGACAAAAGCCTTCCAAAAATAATGATTATTCAAGTAATAAATACAAGTACACAAGGTATAGCAATGCAATTCATAATGACCACTAGAGAAGGTACCTTTCACAAATTTTAACCACACTTGAACTAGCATCAGGCTCACATTTCCTGGTTTCTACGTAAAACTCCTCCGGTTTATAAGCAACATCCTGAAGAAATATGAAAAGTGCTGTTAGCTAACTAGACTGGAATAAAGAATAGGCAATATTTTGATAAAATTTTATGAAGCAAAAAACACTTCTAAAAGGTCATTGTACCATGCTGGATATTTATGCATTTGGGATGCCAGAGTCAAACATGCAATTTGGTTCCACTCATTTTGCTATTTTTCTATAAAATTTTGGATACTTCTTTACATGTCACAAATACTTGATGGACTACACAACCTACTCTACTTTAACTCAACTATCTACAAAATCAGTATCATATTAAATTAACGTACTCATTTTCCTATTTATAAATCTCGCAATATTATTTTCACTTGAAGTATTATATAGTTTGTCCATCCCAATACAACATCAACAACAACAACATGGGGCTGTCTATATACAACAACAACAACAACATCAAGCCTTTATCCCACTATGTGGGGTCGGCTACATGAATCCTTTTTTCTCCATTGTGTCCTATTAAAAGTCAAATTCTCGTTTAAATCTAATAAAGAAAGGTCATTCCTAATATTTTCTAACCAAGTCTTTTTAGGTCTACCCCTACCTTTCTTAACATAAGTCAAATCTAATACCTCTACTCTCCTAACCGGGTCATCGCAAGGCCGTCGTTTTATGTGGCCAAACCATCTAAGGCGACTTTCTCTAATCTTATCTTCTACTGGAGCTACTCCAACCTTTTCACGTATATGCTCATTTCGTATCCTATCTCTAAGGGTAAAGCCACTCATCCACCTGAGCATCCTCATCTCTGCCACACTTAACTTATTATTATGCTTCTCTTTTAATGGCCAACATTCGGCACCATAAAGCATTGCAGGCCTCACTACCATCTTATAGAATTTTCCCTTAAGTTTGAGGGGTACATTTCTATCACATAACAAGCCCGATGCATTCCTCCACTTCAACCATCCAACTTGAATTCTGTTGATAATATCCCCATCTATTTCACCATCACTCTGAACAATAGATCCAAGATATCTAAAATGTGTACTCTTATTAATGACTTGATTGCCCAAAGTCACAATCCCCTCACTAGGTCTATTACTACTAAACTTACACTCCATATATTCCGTTTTAGATCTACTCAAGCGAAAACCTTTAGACTCTAAGGTTGACCTCCATAATTCAAGTTTACCTTCAACTCCCTCTCTAGTCTTGTCAACAAGAAGAATATCATCAGCAAAAAGCATACACCAAGGTACATCCTCTAGCAAATGTCTAGTGAGAACATTCATGACTAAAGCAAAAAGATATGGGCTTAAGGCTGATCCTTGATGTAACCCAACCGAAATAGGGAAATACTTGGTCAATCCACCTTGTGTTTGAACACAAGTAATAGCTCCTGCATACATATCTTTAATGATTTGAATATAAGCATTATTGACTCCTTTCTTTTCAAGAACTCTCCATAGCACTTCTCTTGGAATTTTATCATATGCTTTTTCTAAATCAATAAATATCATATGTAGATCCTCCTTATTTTCTCTATATTTCTCAATCAAACCTCTTAATAAATATATGGCTTCCATAGTCGACCTACCCGGCATGAATCCAAATTGATTTTGAGAAACATTAGTATCACGCCGCAACCTATGCTCCATAACTCGCTCCCATAGTTTTAAAGTATGACACATTAACTTAATACCTCTATAATTCGCACAATCTTGTGCATCACCTTTATTCTTAAAAATAGGAATTAACACACTCATTCTCCACTCATCTGGTATCTTCTTAGTCTTCAAAATAGTATTAAAAAGTTTAGTAAGCTATGAAATTCCTTCATCTCCTAAGCATTTCCACACCTCTATTGGAATATCAATAGGAATTAACACACTCATTCTGCACTCATTTGGTTTTATTATTATGCATTTAAAAAATCATTTTTTTCCTATTTAATTTTGCTACTTATCATCTTACCATTTTTATTTCATTCATGCTTAACTTAGTTATTAATGATGGTTTTACTACCCATGTTCTAGGGTGCAACTAGGATTGGGTTGGATTAGTTTCATTATAAATGTCACCCAAATTTACTCCATTTTGTTCATTATTATTAGAAATGGAACTAATCCAGATTACTTTGAGAATCAAACCATGATCTAAGAACAATTATTCTTATTTGGTTCTTGTTCTATATCATTTGTTTAGATTTGGGTTCAGTTTTTAGATTTAATTATACTTATATGCTTGACATTATTCCATGGCTAATTTTGTGTATTTTAGAGAAGAAGAATGCTTCAATCTTAGTGTATAACCCTATCAAAGATAACTGAATTTCCCTATTTCAATCTCAACAACATAACATTTTAAAATCTCAATTAAATGACATTAGCTTTACTTGGTATAATTGTAAATATTTATGTTTTAAGCAATTTGCGTGCAAACATACAAGATAACTATCAACTATCACTTCAAACAATATGAAACTTACATATTTAGAGCAAAATTATAAAGGATTTTGATTGGGTATTTGAGTCTTCCATTGAATTCTATGAAAGATAATTTTCATGCCTTCTAGTTTTGGTTTGGGCCGGTGATGGGTTACCTGAATAGAGGAATTGAGAACCGACCCATTATATCCGTTCTGCTTATTTTAGGAACCAAAATTAAACTATGCCTCATGAGAATAGACCCAAGTTGATTAGTTAGGTTGGGTTTGGGTTGATTTATGAATTCTTAGATATTTTAGCAGAGTCCTACCATACTCAGAATCATACAATTTTACTAACATAATTTCTATTTTAGAAAATTGACATTATTCTAAACTCTAGAAAGATGATAAGTTTTGGAATTCCACTTATTCACCTTCAATGCCTCTTCCTCTCATGCTCTCCTCCTACATTCCCTCACCTTAGCTTAATTTTGTTCCATCCTAATGTTGCATCATATGAGAGTGTTGCATGATTTTATTTGACATTTTTATGACATCATTATGCTTTAGGGATCTGCAATGGCCAATCACTTGCCTCCGGGGCACGCCCCCAAGATGTAGCGTGTGGTAGACAAAAGGAAAAAAAAAAAAAACTTGATCTCCTGGTAATCCAAGTAATGAATTTATGCTAATAGGTTTTGCTTGAAGCGGTGTAATTTTATTGAGTACACATTAGCTTCTTGCATGAAATGCAGTGATGTTGAATGAATAGAGTAAGAAACCTGCTTGAAGCCATTCAAGGGCAATGGACTTTGCATTGGCCGAGTAATCTTCACAAGTAATGAAACTTCACCAATGGTTAACCATTATCCAACATTTTCTGCAGGCATGTTGCTCTAGTCTAGTGTTGTCTTTGAGTCTGCAAACCTAATCAGAGAACGTAAGTTGCTCAACCATCCAATCTCTCTATCGATAACTTCAATATATTGGTGAAATCTATGGACATACTTGGTTTTTTTCTTAGCTGATAAATGTTTATATGCATAGAAGATGCACACGTAAAATAAGTGTCAAAGAATTATTATGGGAAAGATGTATATCTAAGATAGCATGAATAAAAATTATTAAAAAAAGTAAATAGGTTTAATCTCTCCTGTAACACTCATTAGAAATTATAAATAAACAAAAAATTAGGATTCATTAAGCTTTAAGACAAGGTAATAATAATGATGATGAGCCAGCTATGATGCACCGATACTTCTCCTCAAAGAGGCGTGCAGTGTCCAACACGACACTTGTCCGGCACTCCTCCGACACGTGTCGGACATGTCGAAAATGTGTCCGATTAAAAAATATTAAATACAAATTTGACGCGTGTCCGACACACGTATCTTAAATATTTTATGAATTTTTTTTAAATATAATTTCTTGTATTTGGCGGGATTTAAATTTCTTATTTCCTATTCACAACATCAAATCAACGTTTGCACTTAATACCCAATCATCGAATATTCTCATTTTCATTTTTTTTGGAATTGAAGGTATTTTCATCTCCTCTCGGTGACTGATAGACGGCATCGACGCATGACTCTCGACATCCTAATATTAATCATTTTAAGCACAAATTCTAGTTAAATGACTTATTATTTTCAAATTATTTTTAAAATTATACTTATTTAATTTTTATACACTATTTTTTAAATATAAAATTATAATAACATGTTCAACCCGTGTCCATGTCCTATATTTTTAATAATTGATGTGTCCGTGTCGTGTCGTGTCGTGTCCGTGTCGTGTCGTATCCGTGTCGCCGTGTCCGTGTCTGTGCATCATAGTGAGCTAGAAATTGTTATCTATCAAGTAGTCAACTTTTGCATCTTCATTTTAGTTTTAACTCATCTTAACGCATCATTTTGAAACTTGTCACATATGAGGTCCCTATGGAGAAATTATTCTTTGCGGAGACCAGACGTAGACCGCCGTCCGGAGACCAACTAGAATGCTCTACATCAGTCGTACCGAGTTGTATCGAGCAGTACCGAGCCATGGCACCGAGCACAAAGGTGACGTAGCGCATTTTGATTGGTCTTCGGACGGCGTTTGGCGTCTGCACAAAATAATTAATCATCCATGACCCTTATATCTAAACTCAATTATTGTGTTTCTGAACCATATATTTCATTGCTTCTATGAAACTGGTGGTATTATTATGCTTTTGATCGGTCAAAAAACATCTTTTTTAAAAAAAATTTTCACATCTTTCTGTTCCATCGAGAATCAGGTGCAAGGTCGAAAATTTGATCCAGATGGAGCTTACATAAGAAGTTGGATTCCAGAGCTTGCAAGAATGCCCACAGAATGGATACATCATCCATGGGATGCTCCAACATCTATACTGAAAGCTGCTGGAGTTGACTTGGGATCAAACTACCCAAAACCAATTGTTGACATCAATATCGCAAGAGAACATCTTGATGATGCTTTGTCCACTATGTGGGAACTAGATCGAGCTGCGAAAGCCGAAAGATTTAACGGTGCAGGCGAAGTTGTCGCGGACAATGTCAAAATGCAAACTTTTGATATTCCTACAGTGGTTGTTAGGCGAGAAGCTTCCGACATCACATCATCTCTTGATCAAAGAGTGCCATCGTTTCATAACATGGATACAAATTTTAACAAAAAGCGAAGTATAAATTTAGATTATGTCATGAAAAAGGAAGTTGAATTCAGAAATAATGAGAAGGGAACTGTAGGTGAGGAAGATGATTTGAGATCTACTGCAGAATCCTCATCTGCTAAGAGAAGAAGCATCAGTGAGGCTCAATTTTCTGTACCACTCCCATGCTATTCTGAATCAGAGAGTAAAAATCAATGCGGGTATGATGCTTTCAAGCCACAATTTTTTAGAGGTTCACCATCAACACAACCAGTGCAGAAAGATAATGCCATGGAAGCACAGGTATGCTAATATTTGAAGATATGGATTCTTTATAAACTAAATACATGAAAAATACCTGTCCCTGTACTTGCCCTTTAAAATATTGCAGATCTCCAACTTTCCTGATTTTATCTGTGACACATATAAGATGAGCTAATAACCATTTGTTTGCTTGAAAGTTTGAAAAATAATGTTTTGAAGGATTGTTAAATTTATTAGATACATCAATTGATTTGTTCAGGTAACCCTTTTAAAGCTTCATCAAATGTAATGTTCTTGATTTGTTTAGGGAATTTTTATTTTAGTCATTTTTCCATTATCTAGCTTTTATTGGTAAATACAAAACAGGATTTTCTCATCAATTTACAAACTTTGCCATATATTTGGCCCAATTTTTGGAGAAATTATTCTGTGCGAACACCGGACGGTCCGGAGACCAACCAGAACGCACCACATCACCCAGTACACAGCAGTGCCGAGCACCGATACCGAGCAAAAAGTGACATGGTGCATTTTGGTTGGTATCTGACGCCGTCCGGAGTCCGCACAATAATTTTTCCAATTTTTGCACTACTCTTGACATTTTGTGGTTTTATTGCTTCTTTAACCCTTTCTTTCAGTATGAAGAGGCTGATGTTGAGAGCTGCAAGGAGGGTCTGAGATCATGCAAGAGACCTGCTTAGTTGAGGAAAATGGAATATCACTCTTTGTAATTATTAAATAATACCTTTATCTTGATGATATTCTAATGCCATAGCACAGTGATTTTCTAATTGTTATGTTCATGTTTAGGAAATTTTGATCCAAATAAAATTTGCCAAAAAAGTTAAAAATATTGGTGTGTATATCTTTTGTAATTAATTTTTACATCCTAATGTGTTTAAATTTGTAGTTGTTGGAGATTTGTTCACTCATATGCTTTTAGGCTGTGTTGTTTATATATTTATTTTATTATATTTTTGTATCTCATGTTATTATTTGTTCATAGAGTGTATTTTCTTATGATTTTTTATAAGTAATGGTGCAAAAAAAAAGTAATTCAAATCAAGTTTATGAAGGATAAATTTGAGTTAACTTAGTTTTTGTTTGGGACCACTTTCTTTCTGCTTTTTTAAATAAGTTTTTTAGTAAAAAAAAAAAAATTAATTTTTATATTAAAAAGTTGCTTTATATAGGAATGCCATCCTAAACAAGTCTTAAAATTAGTCTCTTGACTATTTGTTTATGGCCAATTTAATCTTATAGTATTATATTGTATAAATTCAAAAGATCTCTATGAGATTAAATTGAGATTAATTTTGTAGAGTTGAGAGATCAAGATTTTGTTTGGGATAATTTATTATTATTATTATTTGGTTATTTAAAAATATTTTTGTATTAAAAAGGTGCTTTCAAAAGTAATCAGATTTTTTTTTAAATGAAGTTTAAATTGGGATAGATTTTACTTTTACATGCACAGATGAGTTCCCAGCATGCCATCTTGAAGCACAAACAACTTAAATTTAGTACTTATAAGTATCTTTGGTAGCGGACGTTAGCAGGCTCATGGACTGGGCATGTTGGCAGCCATGCCCTGGGCACGCTGGCTGTTAGGCTTGGGCACGCTGGCTGCCAGGCCTTGGGCACGCTGGTTGCCAGGGCCTCCGCCTAACTAATTATTCTTTCGCAATATGAGGACCATAGAAATGAAAGGACTACTATATTGATGGTTGGCCACACAAAGTAACCACCAATAAATTGAAGCAGAGTATACGACAACTCATGTGCCAATACGGTCTCCAGCACTTCCACATCAACAAGCCCAATGACACCAACCAGTATCGAAGAGTAAGCCAACTCCTACGACGAGCGAACCAAAGGGTCAAAGTAAAGATGTGGACGGCGAGCTCCCGCAATGCGCGTATAGTAGCTAAGTTTGGGCAAGTTGAACATCCATATAAGATGTAAAATAGCAAGCGACATAGGGAACTTATACTCCAATAATGCCAATGATTGCAACTGACATGACATATCGATTTAATCTTCCACATCCAACAATCGAAGGCAAGTGTTTCATCCCTCGCATGACAATCAATTATAATTATAATATGTGGAATAGTTGAGGGATGGATTGGAGCAATGTGATACTCTTTAAGATTAAATTGGTTATATACTAATAATTTGGGGATTAATTTGAGATTTTCTTAAAAAAATTTATATCTTATGCATCATGAAGCTGAAGCCTAAAAATGATGGGAAATCTTTAAATTCCTCTAAGATGGAAGTTGTTTGCTGGAGCAGTTAGTGCTAATTATTATTTACCGAGAAATTAGCAATTTACTTTTTTTTTTTAAATAAATTGGTATATGATATTTGATCAAAAAAAAAATTTATGATAAATTTTAAAATATTATATTTATTTCAAAATAAGTGTAATAAAAATTCTAATTAAAATTTTATGTATTGCATTTATTTGTTATATTTGTTTTAATAAATAGAGTGAGAGAGAAAATATAACAATAATGATAATATTAAGGTTTTGTTTGGAATAATTTTCTTATTATATTTAAAATAATTTTTAGTATAAATTTTTTTTGAATTAAAAATTTTGTACTGAAAAGCTGTTTTAAAAAATAATAAGAAAGTTGTCCTAAATAAAGCCTAAAGTTTCGTTTGAGATAGTTTTTTTTTTTTTAACTATTTTATGAAGCAATTTGTTGAAATATTTGTATTTAAAGCAATAAGAAAGCTATTCTAAATGAAGCCAAAATCTTCAGAATTTTGTGCAGGGTTAATCGTATGTTTTTTGTTTTCATTGTCTTATTAAGAGTTAAATTTTTATTTAAATCAAATAAAAATAGATCATTTTTAATACTTTCTAATAATTTTTTTTAAATGTTCCTATATCTTTCTTAATATAAGTCAGATCTAATACATATAATCACCTAATAGAGCCACCAGAAGGTCGTATAAAATAATATATATATTTTTTTATTTTCATTTGTTAAATGCATAGATATTTTTTATGTTGCAAACTAGATTCCTTCATGTGATCTTAACATAAAGGCTTTGATAGGGCTTCCAAGTGGATGCTTTTGGCCTCTGAGAATCTCATAACATGTTCATAAATATTCTTTTGTGAACTCTAAAGTTGACATTGGCCTTGCAAATTGTCCTTTAGTTTGGTTTGTAGCCTTTTCATTTGTTTCAATTATTTATTTATTTATTTATGTTTTTTCATTTGTTCCATCTGTTAAATGTTTTGCATGTTGTCTTAACATTAAAAAAAAAAAAATCATATTTATATGCTGCCATATGCCCTTTGTCAAGATGCTCTTTTCTCAAACAATTAAGCCAAATGATGGTGTACGACAGTTGTTGCAGTGGACGGGGCGATGCTAGGGGAAAGTAATGGCAGACAACGACGATTGCTTGCAGTGGCCAGAGGCTGTGACTGTTGGTGGCACTAGCTGTGATAGTTGGTGGCAACGACATTTGACTGACTAAAATCTATTAAAATACAAGCTTATAATATTTTTGTAAAAGTTATGTTAAATGTAAATAAAAGAAATGATTTGCAAAGTTATAGATGTTGATATTGCAACTTTATGAAGAAAGAGTCAAATGAGCAAAATTAATTTCATAAGCACAAGAGGAGGAGAGGGATTACAATGTGCAATCTTTTAATGAACTATGAAGTTATTTTTCTATTTGAATCATGATTATTAAGTCATATTAATTTAAAGAAATAAATTGTTGCTTCATATATCATTAAATAAATAAATTTAAGTGCAAAGTTAATAATTAATACATAGAAAAATAGATTAAAAAAGGGGAAAAAATACCATTTCAAACCATTTAAATAAATATTTGATGGGGATCTATCAATAGAGCGTCTATGCATACAAAGCCAAAAACCCAAAAAAATAGGGACAATCATTGATATATCATACATAAGGAGCTAAAAAATTTTTTTTTAAAAAAAAAAAGAAAAGAAAAAAAAAAAAGCATACTTAAGGAGCTATGTAACCTTTCCAATAGAATTATTATCATTTAATTTGATCATAAGAAATCTACGTGTTGGGTTGCTCATAGGCTCAGTCCAATATATGTCTAAGAGAAGGTAAGGATATTCTTATGAAAATTGATCATGATGTTTTTAAATTTTATATTTGAAATAAAAATAATATAAAATTGATTGGTTATTTATGTATTATATAGATACATATATATTTCAAAATAAATTCAAAATTTTAAAATTTATCGTGGTTGAAATGTGCACTAGAAATGCTTATTGTCACATAGAATAAAATGCTCAACATTGATACGAATGTACTTTATAAACTAGTGAAGGGTGGAGAGAATCATCTCATGCTCATATTTCAAGGAACTTTTGAGGAGAGACTTATAGGATGTATATAATAAAAGCAATTGTCTATCGACACGACGCTTCAAAATCGAACACGAATCGAGCTTAATGTCGAGCTTGTTCACGAACTTCAAATGATGTTGTTCGCGAACATAAATGAGCCGAACACATTAGTGTTCAAGTTTGTTTATTTAAGATCGAGTATTTAAAAGATTGTTTAAATTTGTTTGTTTAGTTAATTAAACGATCACAAACGATCTTTAATCGAACCGAACAACGAGTAGCTCGTCGAACGTTTGGTTCACTTGCAACCATACTTTTCAACATGATCATATTTGAGTTAAGTTCGAAAGGGCTAAGGGAAAAATGACTAAGTATATTTGAATTTATTAAATTAATCAATACAATAGATGTCAACAAAAAATGGGTTTAATTAGATAACATTCACATCCATAGTGATATATAGAGGATAAATGTGATCTATAGTTCTTATGAACAAATCTTTATTTGATAAAGGTAGCCCTTATGATCTATAATAGGAAATCTCCCTCTATAATAGACTATTATATAAAGCAAGGCTTTGATTTGAGTCCCCTTAATTATTATGACATCATGAGAGCATCATATATACTAAGAAGAGTGCTGAACTCTTACATACTATCCACTACAAATATTAACCACTTGTTTGGTCTTTTGATTGAGCGGGAGGGAGAGCGATCGGATCATCTTGTTAAGTTATGTTTATCTTGCCCTTATCTCAAACTATCTTAACCATATATCATGGAAGGAATTTTCCATAATGTAGCAACACTTCAAAGGTTTCATCAACATCATAATGATGTATTAATATTAAAATCATACTGTGTGATATACATCATAGTATATGATATATCATATTTTGATATAATTTTAATAGGATTAATTTGTATTAATTAAGATAATTCAAAAATTAATTTAACAGCACTATATAATGCATATCATTCCATATGATCAGTGTGATTATCTCAATCAAATTGATAGAATAAATTTGTTTTAATTATAATGATGCAAAATTTGGACTAATTATACTATACAATATGCGTCATACTATACAATCAATTACTTACAAAATAAATTTAATTAAGGCTTTGTTTCAGATGGCTTTTTTACTATTTCTTAAAACAGCATTTTAGTAAAAAAATAAAATCTTTTTACTAGAAAGCTGCTTTAAGAATTAATAAAAAAAGTCATCCCGAATAAAGCCTTAGACTTCGTTTGGGAAGGCTTTTTTACATCTTCTTAAAGCAGTTTCTTAAGAAAAAAAAATAATTTTTGTACTCAAAATCTGCTTTAAGAAGCGATAAAAAAACGGTTCCAAAGGAAACTTAAGTCACATTATTTATTGAATGATTAGTGAGATTTAATTTGAATACGATCATACTAATCTAAAATTTAGAATCATTTAAGCTCGACTCCGCATTAGTATACTTTAACTCCAATAAATAAAAAAATAAATTGTTATATAATTTCTTATGAATAAAATTTTGAAACATAAACTATAAAATTTTAAAATTAAATTTCGT